AAAGTTCTGAAAGCTTTTGCAGTTCAAAAAAAACCCAGAGTTTGCTTGTTTTGATTTTGCTCCTTTTGTGCTTAAAGGTCCCTCTTATCACCAAAAGACGTGTCCCTTGTCCTCATGGCACCTTGGGAGGTTGAGGGCTCCTGGAGAAGGTTCTCATCTGCTTTGTGCCAACTGAGAATTTTTTCCTATTCCAAGATACCAGTGTGGTTTCATCCCTCAATCCCAGCCCATGAGAGGAGAAGTCTGTCTGTCCTGCTGTGTCCAGGAGACACTTCCACCACGGTGCTCAGCTTGGGATCAGCTCGTCTGCCCTCCCCATGTTGGCCAACAGGAGATGACAAAGGTTAATTACTTTCCTGCCAGCAAGTACATGCTGTCCAGCACTGGGTGCTTATGGCTTTGAGGACAATTTCCAAAGAGAAAAAAGCAAAAGCAGAAGCAGCAGCTCTCCCAGGCAGCAGATGCTCTCATGTTGCTGCCCTTGGTATGCTCCTTATTTTAAGTGAAACTTTCTCATGTCCTGGGAGCAGCTGATGCTCAGAGACTTCTGGAGTCCTCAGGAGTTTTTTGTCTGGGTGTTTGTGCACAAATTACAGCAATTGAACCAAAGCACTTGTGAAACCACCGTTTTTTCCCCTGACTGACTGGCTGGGAGGCAGAAATGGGATTTTTATGTAGTGTTGGCTGTGTTATGATGTCTGGATTGGTCATGGAGTTCACAGCAGGTTTCTGGCCTAATGGTGATTCTCTGCTCTTCAAAAGCAGGGAACTGCAGGTCTGATAATCGTTCTCTGTATTTACACCAACTCTGTTTTCCTCTAGGGTTTACTATTTAAACTTTTTTTTTTTTTAACCTGAGAAGTGCTTTAACCACATGCAGCCTGCAGCAGACAGAAAGCTCTGTGGCACCTGGTGGAGATGCAGATTTTGGGTTGGTGGGAAGCTCATCCTTGTGTCAGCACAGCCAAGGTCAGGTGAATGACTCAGGCTCCCAGGCACTGGGGCTGCTGATCAGGCAGCGGGCTGTGCTCTCAGGGGGAAGATACCCAGCAAGGAAACCATTTGCTTCTGTGGGATAACAAAACCAGAAAACCACCTCCTTTGATCTAGGCGATGGTTTTGTGCTGTTACTGTAACACCCAGACCGACACTGAGATTGGCAGGAACTACCTCAGCACTAAGTGCTGGGGGATAAGGGACACGCAGCTGCCCCATGCAGCAGCTTTTGGGGCTGCAGGGGAAGCAGAAGGTTGAACACAGAAGGGGGTTGCAGGGGAGCACTGTCCTATTTTGGCTTGCAAGAGGATGCTGTCCCTGGTTGTGGCGGGGGCAGCTTGGAATTTGGGTGATCTTTACTGTGATCTTTAAGGTCCCTTCCAAACCACTCAGTGATTCTGTGCCTGGGGTCTCATCCTGCAGCTGGTGGGATCCAGCACAGCAGAGGCAGGGCTGAACCCCAACCCAGTGCTGCAGCTCAGCTCAGCTCAGCTCATCTCACCCACTGCTGCTTCAGTCTGTGATGGCATCGTGCTGCTGCATTCAAAGACTGGTTTTTGTTGGTTTTCCCCTTCAAACACTGATATATTTGGCATGTGTAAGTTCATGTTGGGACCCAAAGGGTCTTCCTGCTCCCTACATAGGTGTTGGGTCAGGGTGCAGCCTGGAGAGGCACTGAGTGATGCTGGTGCTGGAATTCTGGCTGGAGGGAGGTGCCAGGGGTCGCCTGGATGACTTGTGACAGTGCCCTGACTCTCCCAGTTCAGGGAAAAAAACCCCCAGAGGGTTTATTTAAGCAGAGCATCCTAGCAGGGATGGGCTGTTGTGGACAGGGTTGGTCCAGCAATGGGAAAATGTTGCTGGATGACATGGTCAGAAATGAATCACGGGGATTCCTCCTCCATTGGAAATGTCACTCCTCCAGGGGACATTTGGTTTCCCAGATGGCTTCTGCTGGGATTTCCTAAATCTTCTCAGACATGATACGTATGTTTAGTCAGAGATGAGATATGTTTACATGCTTTTGCCCACCAGATCTGTGTCATGACACAAACATCCCCTTGTTTTGGTGACAAATGGCACAGACATCTTTGCATGTGGCTTGCATGGAATCTAGCAGGGAATGTCCCCCCGGCTCAGACCTGTGACTGGGGCTGGGAGCCCTCTCTGTGGTCCTTCCAGCTCCCCAGCTCTGCTTCAGAGGGGCTCAGCTGCCTCTCCCCACCTCCTCTCCCACGCTGATCCCCCACGAGCAGGCAGCCATCCCACCCGGAATGCTGACTTGCTCCGTCTCCTCTTTCTTCTGAATCAAACAACTCCTGTGGCATCAGGTCTCTGGAAACCTTTGTTCTCTGTACAGCACGAGGATTCCATCTGCTTCCTTCCTGTGGTTATTTAACCAGAGTGACTGAGCTTTACTGAGAAACTCTCCACAGCTGAGCTGACGTTGCCCTTTCCAAGCGCGAGGCAGAGCCCAGGCACCAGTTTCGCTCACGAGGCTCCCTGAGCTCCTGCTTTGAGCTGGTGACAGCTCTGAGAGCTGCTTCCTGCCTCCCTGTGGAAGAAAAGTTATACAAAAGGGATGAAAATAGGTGCAGAGGGGCTGGGGGAGCGTGAGGAGCAGACCTGCCTGGAGGGAAGCTTCAAGCAGTGCTCCTCAGCGCAGGTTTGGCTGAGAACAAAAATCCCCTCCTGGGACAAAGTCAGTGATTCCACTGACCCACATCAGGCTGGAGTCTGGGCAGAAACTGGCTTAGAAACTGTGGTATTAAGTAAAAAGATTTTGCTTCCAATCCAGTGAAGAAGGAAACTCTACTGTCACAAACACCTGGAGTCTGATGGACCTGGAGTAAAGGGCTGAGAGGGGTGAAAACGAAAGAGGCTCGAAAGTGAAACAGGAATGTGACCCGGTGGGTACCTGCCAGCAGCTACCAGGGCTGGGCTGCTGTTTGGAGATGGTTATACTGCTTGAATTCTGGGTTTATTAACAACAGAGCTGTGAATTCCCACATCCATGTCCACCTGGGTTTTGTTCAGGATGTGCACAGGGATCCACCTGCATAGATACATAACCTCCAGCCTGGGAAAAACAAGCAGTTCTGCTGTTGATTTATGTTAGTCTGGTTTTTAGCTGGTATCTACTGTCTGATCTAGGATCAAGGTCTCATCCTGACTGAGAGCAGAAGTGAATTTGAAAACATCTCAGCAGGTAAACAGAGGCAGCAGTGCTCTCTCCTGTAAACCAGAGGAAGGGATGTGAAAGCCCTGGTGATTATCAACGACATTTGGGCACATAACTAGTTAGTTAGCTGTAAATGCTGCTCTGAAAAGGGCAGTCCCTGAAACAGTTGCTAATTAGAGGCTGAAGAGGCTGGAGTGACCCATGGAGTACCTTGGGGCTGGTGTTTCTCTGCTGTAGGAGATCACTGCCAGGTATTTTGTCAGAAATTTGCTTTTAAATGTGAGGTCCTCAGGTCTTCTCACTTCCCTGGCCATTAACGCATTCAGCTCCTCCTGGGTGGTCCTTCCCACCTGGATCTGTGCCCGCTGGGCTCTTTCCCAGCACGGTGACACTGGGCACAGGATCTATGCTCTGCTGCTGATTTACAGTCCTGTTAACAGCTTGCAAGAACACGACAGAGGCTTGGCTCATTAGGAGGTCTTTATTAGCAAAAATAAAAGATTTCCTTTCATACAGATAAATAGGCAAGAGTTCACAGAGTGACAGAAGCCCCCCCACCAGCGTGACCCCCACAGAAGTGGAGCTGATGTTGCTCTTGGCTCTCACCACGGCTCCAGGGCTGTCCTTGCTTCTCCTCCAGCGTGGAAATCAAGGTGTTTGGTGGAAAAAACAAGTGCAGAGTTGGCTCAACGGGGAGCTTAACGTGTCCTGGTAAGAAGCTTAATTGCAGTTTGAGAGTGTTTGGCTGCCACGCTGCCCTTGAGCCCGTGCCCACCCCACTGCTTTCAGCAGGTCCAGGGAGCAGCATTCCAGCCCTAACTCTGGGATAACCAGTTCCCAGGCGGGCAGGCTGCCAGCAGGAATGCCCTTCTGTCACCATCAATGTACACAAAGAATAAATCCACTATAAATAGCCTCTCTTCAGCAGGGACTTGGACAGCAAGCAGCAGACTGGCAGTGTTTCATCGTATTGGGGCTTTTTTACTTCTAAATATTAGAAGTAAATGCCTCTGGGTTGTGGCATTTCCCTCTCCCCCACAGGAGACTGGGCTGAGGAGGAAGGTAAGCCCTAAAATCAGCCACTTTTGGGGGTGCTCTCCCTGCAGCCTCCCCCCTGCAGCACGTGGGGATTAGAAACCAAACCCCAGTATTGTCAGTGCTGGAAGCAGCTTCATGGATTTGAATGCAAATTACACAAGCCACCTTAAAATGGTGGTCAATTAAATATCCTCTAACTTAGAAAAGAAAATAGACAATAAAACAGTGAGTAAAACCCAATCAAAGACTGGAAAATAGTAAGATTAACTTCTGAAAGTGCAGAGTGGCCAACCCAGCAGCTCTGGAGGGCAGATATTTAGCAGTATTTAAGCCAAGTTCTATTAGAACCAAACATTTAATTCCTACTACTATTTGGTTTTTCCTTTAATCTGGACTAATCTATACATTGAAGTCTAGAGGTAGATTAACTGGGCTGTTGCTGTGTTTATGGGAGTACAGGTCCTCCCCTTCATAAACATAAAAACATCTGATTGCATAAATAAATAGAGAAATAGAACATAAGGAGAGTGTAATTTACTTAAAATTAAATTTTGTTCATCTCAGAGCTGGAATTCCTCCTGATCAGGAGTAGAATTTCACTCAGTATAAACTCTGTCCATTGTCTGCTCTCCAGAAAAATGCTGCTTTGGGTGTTTGGAAGCTATGAATAAAGTAGCCCTATGATAAACAGTATTAAAATATTGAACAATAAATAGTATTTTCCAAGCTCATGCTCTTCTTCAAAACATATTGTAAACATTAACACTGAGGTATTAAAAGTAATAAATATTAAATTCTAAAAAAAATAACTTTTAAATACAATAGTGAACTGGAAGTTATTGACCCATAACTGAACCCTGAGATAATTTAAGCTCTTGTGGCCTGATTTCTGAACAAATAGCAGGATTTGGTGTGGAAAAGGGGTGTCCTCAGTTCCTTCTCTTCATTGTCAAGTATTTTTCGATGTAGTTGATGAAAATGTCAAACTCTCCCATGGCCTTGTAGATCCCGTTCTGGTTCATCTGCAGGTGAAAGCCGAGCCTGTTTAGTGGGACTGTGACGATATTTGTGATGTACAATCACTGCATAACTTCTCCTCCCTCCTCCTCCTGCTTCTCTGCCCAATTTCCCGGGAGAACTCACCAGCTGCTCCCTTGAGCACCACCCTCTGGATTCCTCTGCCTCAGGTATTTCTGCATTAAAGACTTTTTTGGGTTCTCCCTCCTAAGCTGAAGCCATCAGTAAGATCTCTGTCTTGCTGGAACAGCGAGTTCCTCCCCCTTGCTGCAGCCACGTGAGCAGGACCTTACCTTGCTGAACGTGTCCTTTATGTGCTTCATGCTTTTGCTCCTCTCCTCGCACGTGAAGAATCTGTGCTGCAAAAGGGATAAAAACAACGGCTTCAGCCCCAGGGGTTTCCTGCCCGGGGTGTGGTTCTGGCTCTCCCGTCCTCCTGCCCCTCCTCAGTGCCGCTCCCCACCTTCCCCTTCCCCCCCTGTGTCCACGGAGCTCTCGGGGGCAGCAATTAGAGCTTTTTAGCACCGTGTTCTGCTGAAAGTGTGACCGAGCCTGGACCCCCAGCCCTGTGCCCCTTTCTGCCAGCCCCAGGTGAGGTGCTCTCTGCCCGGGGCAGGATTCATCCCGTCTGATTCCGGAGATGGACTCGTGGCTGCACCAGGTGGGAGTTTGGGAGGGATCATCGCAGAGCCACGTGGCTCCAGCCCCCAGGTAAAGGACAGACCCTCCCCTTGTCTCTTCAGCCAGACTCTCGTGCAGGACTGGCTGCAAGTGGTGCTGCTGGGCATCATCACTGACTAATGCAAGCCTGGCGAGCAGAAACTCCATCCTTGTGTGCCCTGCCAGCTCCTGCCTGCCTGGATCCCTGCTCCTCCACCCTTCCACCATCCCACCACCCTGCCCCTGGGGACCCTCTGCCCACCCTCCTGCTGCTCTGGGGCTGTCCCCGCGACGCTGAGCCCCACTCACACAGCGCCTCATCATCGTCCTCAGGCTCAGCAGCAGGTTGCCCAGGTCGCCCACGCTCTGCTCGTGGTGCGTGCTGGTCCTCATGGCGCTGGGCAGCACCTCCTCCATGTAGAACCCCATCATCTCCGACACCGACTGGCAGCCCAAGGTCCCCTGGGGCGAGAGGAGGGAAGCAGGTTGGGGGAGTGTTGTTTTAAATCAAAGTCGCCCCGGCGGTCGGAGCGCTCGCAGCGCGGGGGGAGCCGCGGCAGCCCCGCCGCGGGCACACGGGTCACTGCGGGGCTGCCGAGCTGTCCTGGCGCGACTTTAGGAAATGCCCCAGTTTCCAGGCTGCTTCCTCTCTTATGAAACACCCGCCGAAGGATGGAGGAGGAGAAGGGACTCAGACACGAGAGCTGTGATTCTTACCTTGAATTCATCCAGCAGGTCGGAGCTGAGCAGCTGGATGCTGAGGTCGTCATCTTTTGATTGCTGTGGGAGGATGCAATGGAAATGTGAGCTTTTTTAGGCAGGTAATCAACTCTCTTTTCACTTTGTCCAATCAACTGATCCTTTTCTTGTTTGCATTTGTGCTCTCACTGCAGCACACGTGTGTGCAGAGCACAGTGACACCAGGAACAGGAGTCACCAGTTCTTTGGTCCACAATCTTGCAGCATAAAGACTGTTGGGTCAGGACAGGAAGACAATGAAATCACAATCTTTAGTGATATTGATTTTGTCAATGTGAAACTCTCTGCTGCCAGCCCCACACACTCACTTCAGCTGCTCGGGGTGTTGTCTCAGAGTGCTGCTGGAGACTGCAACGCTCTCCAGAGAGGTGTCAAAGCAATGGCAGCCCCTGGAAGCCACCCCAGTCTGTCTGCCAGGTCAGGAGGGTTTAATCCCCCGGGTTTTGTTACCTCTGTAACTCTCCAGTTGATGGGGAAAAAGGGAGTTTGTTCTCATGGTGCCTCTGTTGCACCAGCAGCTCTGAAAGACCAAAGAGCTGCAGTGGGGTGGGCTTGCACCACACAAAGAATGACCCTAGGGCACCAAGGGACTCAAAAGCTGTCCTGAGAGGTTAAAAATACTCCTTCCAAACGTTATCTGGGAGATTTACAGCAAGATTTATGTTTACAGTCTTGGCTGCACTCGTTTGATAATAAATACAAGCCATGACATTAGTTTGAGATTTCATCTGGAGAATTACCTTGTTTTATTGCTAAAACACACTGACACCAACCAAAACAGCAACAAAGATGTGACCAACCATCTCTGTCAGTACTGATGCCATGACAGATGCTCTGAGTGCATCTTGTGCTGTTTTCTCAGCAGAGCACAGACACCAAAGCAGGTATCCAGTTACTGTGGAGTTTCTCCAGCCATAAAATACCCTGTGCACGCTTTTGTGGTCCTTTCAAAGCAAAAGCCTGTAGCAAAAGATCTCCCTTTTCACCCAGCATCGAGGCGAGGCTGGACCTCGCTGCCCCGAAGGAAGGACAATTTCCTTCCCGTTAATCCAGTGATTAATTTGGTGGGATTTAATTTAGCGGGAAGAGTCTGGCTGCTAAGGTTCACAAAGCTTCGTTATGAAATCTCGAGTTCATTGTAACTAAAACTAGGAAGAAAACCCTCGTGTGCTGTCTCTCAGTGAGCAACGAAACCGAACTTCTCTTGCTCACCCGTAACGCAACGCACGCACCAAATCATTTCTGCAGAGAGGAAGCTCTTCCCCTCCAAATCACTGAACTTTGCAAAAACAGAGAGGCGAAGAAACGAGCGGGGTTGTACTTACAAAATAATCCTTGATTTCCTCAAACTTGACTCTCAGCTCTCTGAGCTTTGCAGGCAGGAGCTGGGGGAAGTGCAGGCAGGAGGGCTGGCAGCGGGCGCCGGCAGCCAGGAGCAGCAGGAGCAGGATGGGCATGGCTTTGCAGCTGGAGCAGGTTCTCATGCTGTGGGAAAGGGGCTGCTTCCCTCTTGGTCCAGCTCTCGGGTGGATTTCACAGGAGGGTATAAAGCCAGATCTGCAGCTTTCACCTTGATGGAGCCCCTCATTTATACTCTCAAAAAATGGCTCCATTTCCTCTCCCCCGTTTCCTGACGAGCAATATTGGGGTTTTAAGTCATTCATTAAACCCAAATGTCACTTGGGTTTCCCGTCAACTTGGGTTTCCTGTTCTCTTGACCTCCCTCCTCTCCTCACACCCCATCAATTCTTTTGTGCTTAGACTCTGCAATTTTTTTTTTCATTACTTGTTTCTTGTAAATTTAAATGTAGCTGAAGAGGAAAGTTGCAGACACATGAAGAAGCCAAGGTGCTGTGTGAGGTTAATTTTTTATTCTCACAGTCACTTTTTATATTTAGATGAATGTCCTATCCTTGGAATGAAAAAAAGTGTTGCTACTTTTACATCTTTGTATGAAACCTGCAGCATTGCATCACTCAGCAGCTTTGCTTTTCGTGTACCTGTACAAACACACTGTCTCCTTTTTTGGCATTTGAAAGTTAATCTGCAAATACACATACTCATCTGAAATCTTCATTTTTAATTAGATTTTTTTTTTTTCAGTTAATGCATGTGTCTGCCAATGCCCATGTGAATTTTCAAGCTCAAAGGCTGCGCTCCCAAATTTTAGCTGGTGAAGTGTGTGGATGCTAACGGGATCAGTTCCATGATGGATGGGGATGTTATGGAAGAGCTCAGCCATGGATGTGGCTGCTCCAGTCCCTCTGGGCTCCCCCAGAACAGCAGGGCAGGAACAGAGTTTGTGCCCCTGTTTTAACATTGGTTTATGGGGTTAAAATGCACAAGCAGGTAATGAATATCCATATTTCAGGCTCTTAAATCCCATTTAGTTTCCTAGAAATGGACAGAAGCCCCATCCAAGGAGTCCCGTGCTGGCTCTAAAGACTCTGTGTCCTGTCTTAACTGGGACTTATTGTCCCAGCTCTGATAAAGTTGCCTCTTCAGAGCTGGAGATAATTCCTCTGACGTCTCCTCGTTTTCCGCTTCCCTCTCTTTTCTGGTCTCTTTCTATATAAATCAGTCCACACACACCCTCCACTTCCTTGTGATAAAGATTTCACTTATTAATTTGGGAATCTGGTATCCAAAAAGTGAAAGGGGAAATAAATTTAGCTTTCTTAAAATCAGAGGGTTTTATTTAAAATCCCTTGTGCTATTTCGAAATAGTTCGTTCTTCCCAGCCTGCCTCCAGCAGGGAACAAATCCCTTAAATTCTCATCTCCTCCATCACACTGAGATTCCTTCAGGTTGAGTTTCCAGACCTCTGTTTAGGAACTTGTTGCAAGAAAAATGCTGGAAAAATGCGAAGTATTGTTTGTTCTTGTGCACTGAGATTTATTTGTTTATTTTTACAAGTAAAAGAGAGGAATGTTTGGGGTGTGCGTATGTGTGAGTCAGGGGAAAGGAGATGAAGCACCAGTAACTGGAGGGTTTGAGGGGGACAGTGAGGGCTTCTGGGCTGTGATTTGGGTTTTTTGGTTGTTGGTGCCTCTTCCAGGGGCGCTGGGGAAGTGAGGTCCCAGTGAATCACTGCAGGCTCACAGTGCATCTGAATCACGGCGTGTGTCATGTTTTGGGTGACCCCTTTTTCTTTCCCTGTCCTAACTCAGCCACATGTTTTCTCCCCTTGGCTGGCAGCAGAAGCATCAGAAAGGAGAAGGGCAGAAGACTTGGACAAAACCCGGTGGTTTTAAGCTCGATTTTCACTGGCAGGATCCCACTTTTTCCCGGGGAAATTTTTTGCTTCCTTTGCTTTAACTTGAACCTGCCAGGGGTCAGTAAATCTTCAGTGCCAAGAGCTGGACAGCTGTTTAAGCTTCATCAGGGTATTGAGGCTGATACATAAAGTCACTGAGTGTGATGTTGGCAGGAGCCAGTGTGCTGCGCCAAATCCTGGAGCTAAACCCACTCCCTTGGGTGAAGGATGCAGCCCCAGGCACTTCCCTCCAAATTCTAAATTCAAAAATTCTTGTCTCCCACCCTACAAGGGTGTGATGACCTACATTAAGTCACCATGCAATGACTTAATTAAACAGTGTATGAACTGCTTAAACATTCAGGATGTAAGCACGAGGTAACAGATGTGTGAACAGAATCCGATTTAAGTTTCATATCACAACCTGTCCATTCTAGAATAAAATTCTAGCAGTTCGAAATTATTAATGTGCAAATTCTGCCATGCCAAGGTGAACTTCAACCTCACAGTTCAGTTTGTTCAGAACAGCAGCTTGGACTGGTCCCCTGCAGCAAAGTGGACATTCAGCTGCAGGTTTAGGTGCTGGTGTTTTCATGGATTGCAAGGCTTTGGCAATGCCCCCTGGCATCAGGAGGAGCTGGTGCTGCAGCAGCACCAGAAGCCTCCTTCCATCCTGCCAAGGAGCTGAGTGCTCATTTCCAAACTTCTCTTATTTTGAGCAACCCGTGGCTCTCCGTGAAGTCACTCGTTTGACGCCCGACGCGCGCCGGGCGCTCCTCGGCCTCGCGCCGTCCCCTCCTCCCTGTTTTGGAACCTGCTCTGTGTTTTCTGGTCGCTACCAGCGTAAGCCAGAATGTGCCCATTCCACAAAGGAAACTCTGGCCTGTGCAGGGTGATTCTCTGCTGTGTTTACCTGTGTTTCCTTCGCCACGTCAGAGATCTTGACGGTGCAGTTTCGCTCTGACTCACTCCCTGCTTACTGCTGTGGAAAGGCATTGACTCTGCACTTACTACAACGTGCTTCATGAATGAATAAAGCACCTTTTCCTAAAGAGTGTCCGGGGGATGTGGGTGTACTTCTAAACCTTTAGGAAACAGCTTTCATGTTTGCCAAGAAGATTTCAGGAAGGAAAATGTGTTACTCAAAAGCCATTCGTGCACTTTTACCCACCTCCCACGAGCTTCTGAGAGCGGCAGGTTCACAGGAAACAGCAGGGCAGCAGAATGCTGTTTCTTCACTAAAACAGAGGCCTTTGGGCAAATACTTTCCCCCACAGTGTGGCACGAGGACAGATTTGTCCTGGGCATCATCCTGGGCACCCTGCACTGGGTGAGGCTGCACTGGTGGGACTGGGGGTTGGGAGTCCTCAGGGTCCTGTCCTCTGGAGCAGGGTGGCACCTCACCCTGCTTATTAAAGGGGCTTTTCTCATGTGGGCAAGCTTTTAGGTGGCAAATTTTTGCTTTTCTTTTTTTGCCTTCTTGGTCTCTGTCATTGCTCTGGGGCAGAGGGACATTGTGTGTTGTGAAACACCATCCCTGGAGGTGTCTCACCATCCCTGGAGGCGTTTAAGGAGTGACTGGACACGGCACTCAGTGCTCTGATCTGGTTGACAAGGTGGGGATCGGTCACAGGTTGGACTTGATGATCTCAGAGGTCTTTTCCAACCTCAGTGATTCTGTGATTTTCTGCACTATCTACTCTAGACATAACCCAGAGGGCTCCCTAGATTTCCAGGCTGTCACAGTGGTGTGAATCTTTCTTTCCTTTTCAAAAGTTCCCCGTTTCTCATCCCTTCAGATCTGCAAGATCTGCTGCCAGTGCTGCCCTGGGGGAAGCAGAGGCTTGGTGGCCTTTCATTCACCTTGTGCAAAGAACAGTTTTGAAGCGCTGGCATTTTCTCTCTCTCATCTCCACTGATGACTAACAGTTCCTGATGAAGCATCAACTGGACTGTCTGGTTTTTTTCCTCAGGAGTTTTTTTTTGTGCTGGCAGGGCATGACGTTGGATATTTCACATCTGGAGACCTGCTTTCTACCACCCTTGTCGGAATTTGCGACGTGAATCACGTCGACCTCGGCAGGTAAATCCCAAATTACTCTTTGGAAATTTAACCCATGTCACTGGTTTATCTTGTAACATTCAAGTGTCCAGAAACAGGTTATTAATCATGAATGGAAGATGTTATCGTGGTTTTAATCTGACTTCTAGTATGACACAGAGATAGCCTTATATAAGAAGTTCTTAGAAAGTCCAGAACTTCAATTTGATCTAAATCAGGCTGGAAGTGTCACATGAAAAAATCAGGTGATGGAGACTTGCTCCCATCTGTAGATTCAGTGTTTTGGTGATTAACTTCACTGAGAAATGTTTGCACTTTTGTAATTGCACGCATCAAACTCACAATATTTGGAATTCTGCTGCATCTTAAGGCAGAGATTGAGTAACATCCTTGCTTAATACCCCACCCTGGAATTCCAGGGTGCCCTCCGCCAACCTAGGAGAGTGAGCTGTGCTTTATTCCCAGTTTTACATGTATTTTTCCATTTTAAGTCACTCTGTGAGGGTTCTGCAGAGCTGTGGGTGAGTTCAGTGCTGCTGAAAGACCCTCTTGTCTCTGGGCCTTCTGATGAGCCCATTGATGTAAGATCAGGCCCTTGGCCACATGGGGCTATTTCCCACTCTGCAAAGCAAACAGAGGTGTTATTATCCCTCACCTCTTTTATTTTCTCCTGAAATCAGCTGTTGACAGGAGTTTTCTGATGCTCACAGCCCTGTTTGTGTCCTTAGAGAAACCCAGGGGATCTCAGCACTGGGGTTTTAGGAGCGAGGAGTGTGTGCTCTGGGAGGATGGACGAGGTTGTCTCAGGTGAGTCTGTTTGCAGGTAAGTTAAGAGTGTAAAAGTATTTCAAAAAAACCCCCCCTGAATCTACAATCCATTAACCAAATATCACATGCACTGCCTTTTTTTTTTTTTTGTGCTTTCTACAGAACCAACTTTGAGCAACTCCTCCCTTGGGCAGCTCATTGCACAAGTGCTGCTTTGAGGAGTTTCTTTTCTCTAGTTTTGGTATTACTGGGGGGCGTGGGGGGAGGTGGATCTTCTGGAAAATATTGCCTTTGTCATGATTTAGCACCAACACCCTGACCAATAACACAAATACAAAGTACTTCTAGTGATGAAGGGTCATAAGACAGAAACTGGTTATCAGGGTTTGGGAGATCAGATAAGGCAAAGCACAACATGCCTCTGAGGTAAATTACAGACCCAGCATCTCTCACGTTCCACAGCAGCATC